AATCAACCAATTCTAGACATTCCTAGTGTGGATTCCAGGGCCTACTCCCCACTCTCTGTCTGGAGCCTGTTTGCTTGTCCCTATAAGTATGATGAGACCATGAGGAAAAATCCAATACTTTATAGTTCTATTAAAGTTTGGCAACAGATCTCCAAGTTCTTTGGGAGAGGTGAAACTATGTTTGTTGAATCCAATTTATTTGAATCAGGATTTTGTTCCTGGTATAGGTTCACCACTCTTTAAAGCATGGCACATGAAGGGGATTCGTATACTAGGACACCTATTCCAGGATGGCTCTCTAACGTCCTTCCAACAATTACGACAGAAGTTTGATCTTCCAAATCAACATTACTTTGGTTATCTGCATATTCGGCATTGTTATTTCAAAGAAAAAAAGAAAGTGATTCATTAGCACTTAGCTGTTCGGAGAGTTTACTCATCAACACAACTGATGCTGCTCATTTTATTTCTAGATTTCTAGATATTCTTTTTTTATATACTCTAATGCCTCTGAACACAGTGGCTCGTAAATGGGAGGAAGACCTGTGTAATGTTTATATAGACGATGACTGGCAGGAAGCTATGAAAGGTGTTAGATCCACTTTTACTTGTAACCGGCTTAGAGAGACTCAATATAAGATATTACATAGATTACATATAACGCCAGTTTTAATGAATAAAATTGATCCTTCTATACCGGCTCTTTGTGTTAAGTGCCATACAGAGTTGGGGACATAATTTCATTGTTTTTGGAGGTGCAAGTTCATATGGAGATTCTGGAACTTTATTGCTTATGAAATTAGCAACATTCTTAAGATAAAATTTAAAACGAATCCTGGTCTCTTTCTTTTGGGGCTCCCATCTAAAAGACAGGCAATGTCACTGACACTTGATGCAGAAGGCTATAAATTGCTACTTGTGGCAAGGAAATGCATCCTTATTAGGTGGATAAAAAACACCAGGCATGTGAGCTATGTTGCAGCCTGATGGGTTCCAGCGACTAGGAGGAGAACTACTGTGCAGCATAACAATGACGCGGCTGAGGATATCTTTGTTCAGATCATTATTAGTTGCCCAATGACATTGTTGGAAGAGAAGAAAAAGCTCTTTACTGAAATTAAGCTATAGTTTGGGGTCATTCCTTTTATTTCCACTTCTCTCTATTAGCACTTAATTCAAATTAATTTTAATACGCTTCAACATCATCTTCTGTCAGTTTTGTAAGCAGGTGGTGTGCTGCATTATGTGGCTCTGGCAGTGAAATAAAGACAGAAGCCAAACTCATAATCCCAACTTGCTTGGTCACCTTACAGTAGTCAGTTTATGCATTACTCATTTGTCCAAGGTGACTGTTAACCTACTTAGTTTAGTCCTACAAAATTAAAGTTAATGAATGTGTCATCAACACCATACTGACATATAATTGTCTTTTGTTTTATTGTCATTTTATCTATCTTTTTTATCTGTGAATTTATCACACTATCTACTAGAATAAAATTAGATACACTGTCTAATAGAATAAAAATACTAAAACAGAACTCTCAAACATATGACATGACTCATATGGCATGTGAGTGTCTGCAAACAGCCCTAAACCATACGTCCAAACAAACAAGCAAGATGTGCTCTGAGACTGCTGTTTTTGAGATTTTTCTCTTTCAAGGCACCACATGATCATTTAATGGTGTTAATGTGTTAATGGTGGGTGGAGAAATATCTGAAATGCTGGCCTTGTTTGCCATTTTACCTAGGGCTAAAAGCTGGGTCATGAGGAATATTCATGTGAGATGTCACCTCTCGCTCAGGCTCAGGACAACTACACCTTCAGGCCGCTCATGATCTCATATAGAACAACCAATATCTGAAGAAATGCTGAAGAAATGCTTGCTGCTGTAAGTCAAAATGACAAGTAGACAGACTGTAAACTAACTAAAAAAAGAATTCAACATGATGCCCCAAGTAAGCCAACTGACAATGTCGACAAATATGATTGCAAAGGTAAATTTCCCTCAGAAGTATTTTAATGTTAGATATTGTGAGCACAGGAATTATTTTGTGTGCACATTTTAATGAACTTTAAAAGACTTTAAGAACTGCCATCATTTTTCTGAACCACTTTTTAAATTATTTTTAACCATGTGGTATTAAGTAGATTTTTCATGGAGGTATGAAGTCAGTTCTTTTCAAGTTTACACAGGCATCCTACCAAATTAACCACTGGTGTAGTTCCATCATATTAACATAAAAACACAATCCACACAGTTTTACAACTAGACAGTGTCCTCAGTATCCTTTTGTCTCCCTTTTGAACATTGTATATATATTGCTTCATATTTTGAAACATAAACTTAATTTTGTGAAATGTTTTGACTGATAGGCTTGTGATATTTAAAATAAATAACATTTTGATATGGAATTAAAATACAATTGTAATTGTTATTGTATAATTTTTGTAAAGTATCCAAATATTTTGTTAGTATCCAAATAATACTGCATGGAATGTAGTAGGAATGCAGTTATGGCAGAATAACTGTGGAAATATTTTCAGATGCCATATATTTTCAGCAATTTGCATTTTAACAACTATTTTATATTCTTCCTGCCGCGAATTATGAACGAGTTTATTCCAGTCTAACAAACAGTAAAATCATAGGTCACACAATAATAGGAACTTTGTGACTAGACTATGTCCTCATATTGCCTTTGATTCTAAGGTGCTTGTGTGTGCTAGTGCTCAGCTGCAAATACCAGTTGAAATGAGGCATCAACGAGCCTATTTACAATTTTTTATTTGTTTTTAGCATTACTACATTTCTGTAGTATACTACAGTGATGACTATTCAGTGGAATGCTTCAGTTTATAGTCTAACTGTAGGGCTGTTGACATGATTCTATTGTGATTATTGTTTCTCTAACATTTAATATAATGGTAATTTATTTGCTGTTGATTTGGTAGCTTCAACAACCTGGAGAATAACCTACTTTTAACAAAACATATTAGACCTTTCTATTTCATCCATTTCTGGATTCACAAATAGGATTTACAGGGAAATTAGTTACAAAGTCATATGAGAAAAAGACAAGCATGCAGCATGCAGTTCAATGCTGCAAGATGAAGTGTTATCAGAGTGTACACTCTCATGACTGTTTTTTAATACACGTAATGAGTGCACTTTTCAAAAATGCACTTTGTAATAATGTGTAATTAAGTTTTACTTAAACGTATATTTTAAATAATTGTTTCTGTAGTGCTTTAAAAGACTATGCTTATGCTGATGTATTGACTAATATACTAAATAATTTTTAATTTCAACTAAAGTATGTTGTCCAAAACTACAGTTGTTAATGTATTTTAATGGTTTTTAACATATAATGTGTACATTAATGCACTTGAAATGTATTTTTCTTCTAACTTTCAATACACTTGCTTATATAGTATACTCCAGTACAACTTGGTTAAATGTCTGTAATGGTGTTGGTCAGTACATAATAAACAATTACAGGTGTATGAAATGTAACCTATTATAAAGCATTTATATGACAATTTAACATAAAATGCATGTAACAGAATTGAGTATAATCAAATGATGATTAAAGTAGATGTTGAATAATATCCTTTAAATTGCATATTTATTACTACTCTATACTTCAGAATTAATATCTGTAAAGTGTATGTATGTATTATTATTATTATTTTCATTATTAAATTGTGCTAAATTAGGACAAAAATCATGTTTATAGTGTTGTAAATGACACAAATGTTTTTTAAATTCTGTTAAATTTAATTTTAATCAGACTACTTATTAAAATACATTATAGTGTGCTTAATTAAAATACAGTTTAATAGATTGTTAAAATACATTTTAAATATACTAAATTGCAACTTCATTATTAGGAAAAAAATAATTACAAATATATTTTTTAATTGTATTATAGTGTAAATGTAAAATTAAAGCATATTTTAGTTCACATTAATAGCTTGTCAATACATTCAGCAGTACACTTTAACCATATACAAAGGAAATAGAAGCAATTATGAAAGTACATATAAAGACGGATTAAAAGTCCCTCTTAAGGTGTCAAAAAAAATCACTCTTAAGTTCAACAAATTGCATTTAATATAAATTTACACATTAAGGTTTTTGTAAAAAAAACTTGTTGCTGAAGCCCTGTGTACAATAGACTGCAAATTTCCTTAATTCTTTATATTCAACCTCTGGCCTTCCACCAATTTTCAGTCTTCAGTGACTAACAAGATAAAATGGCTAGAATAAGGAACAAAATAACTTACAGTAGGTTGCCAACCAGAATGTGCTTTATACAGCCGCAGGTGCCGCCGCCGCGTCTGCAAAGTGCATTTGCAGCTAGTGACCACTGAGTGGTGCTTTAACCACAGACTTCGACAAATGTATGAAAACGCATTTTCGCGAGTAGCAGTCAGCTTTGCTTTTTCAAAGCACTATATTTGAGGGTTGCAGTTGGCAGATAATCTAAGAGAAACATGTAGTTAAAATTATATATATTCAAAGAAGCAAATGTAGTTTTTATTAACATAAGTGCGTTTGTTAATTGCAACGAATTTAAGCAGCATAAATGTCAAGACTGTGAGCCTGTGCTTAATAGTCATACTCAGTAGCCTACTACACTTTAGATTTTTTTTTTAAATTGTTGAGCATTTGTAATGGTCTCCTTTCATTTTAGTTTAAACATGAGTATACGCTGTATTATTTCGTTCCCATTATTTACCGATTTAGCTAAAACAATAGAATTGAAATGACAAAAAAAATACCAAAAAAAACTTTTTTTTTTGTTTGTTTTTAAAAAAAAATCCCAATGGGTTATTTTTTCAGTGTTTGGGTAGTTTTTGTGTTACCCATCTCCTGGGTAAGACATAACAACAGCCCAATGTTTGGGTAGTTTTACGTCTTCTTCCGGAGAGGGAGCAGTTCTTTCCCCACCGAACACTAACCAGCGCCGTTACGGTGGAAACAGAATAACAGAGAGTGGTCCATTACACGTGAATTACTTCTTACTTTGTTTAATGTTTACTTATAATGTTTGTTAAACAAGTTTAAATTGGGGCATGTATAGCCTACTGTACATATTAAAAACGATAGGCTAAACAATGCTGTAAATGCAGGACAGGAAAAGGGCAGAGACCAGGAGAGCCTCCAGTGCGGATTTGGGAGTTCAGGGGACCATGGCGGAGCAGGCAGTTCAGGTTGCCATGGCGGATCAGGCAGTTCAGGTTGCCATGGCGGAGCAGGGGACTCAGGAGGCCATGGCGGATATGCCACAGGGAGGGCTCAACCGGGGATCAGGAGCCCTTCCTGGGCTAAACGGAGGATCTGGGTAGCGCTTACGAGGTGCTGGCACTGGAGGGCGCTCTGGAGGAGCAGGCACAGCAAGGCGCTTTCGAGGAGCGGGCACTGGAGTGAGCTCTGGGGCTGGAGCCGACACTGGAGTGAGCTCTGGGCGGGAGTGAGCCATGACTGATGGGCTTGACTGTGGAGTGGCCAGCGGGCTTGCCACAGAAACGGCCGGCGGGCTTGTCACAGGAACTTCGGAACTAGACTTCGGAGCGGCCGGCAGGCTGGACTTTGGCGCGGTTGGTGCGCTAGACTTCGGAACGGCCGGCAGGCTGGAGAAAGCCGCGGCCGGCAGGCTTGACTGAGGAATGGCCGGAGGAGGAGTCCTGGATCGGAGGCTCTCCAGACACCAGGTGACTGCCTCCTTCCAGTAGAGGTTGGTGGTGTCTGGGAGCTCTGCGGGGCGATGGTAAGTAATCCCGATCCGGAAGGATCTGGGTAGCGCTTACGAGGTGCTGGCACTGGAGGGCGCTCTGGAGGAGCAGGCACAGCAAGGCGCTTTCGAGGAGCGGGCACTGGAGTGAGCTCTGGGGCTGGAGCCGACACTGGAGTGAGCTCTGGGCGGGAGTGAGCCATGACTGATGGGCTTGACTGTGGAGTGGCCAGCGGGCTTGCCACAGAAACGGCCGGCGGGCTTGTCACAGGAACTTCGGAACTAGACTTCGGAGCGGCCGGCAGGCTGGACTTTGGCGCGGTTGGTGCGCTAGACTTCGGAACGGCCGGCAGGCTGGAGAAAGCCGCGGCCGGCGGGCTTGACTGAGGAATGGCCGGAGGAGGAGTCCTGGATCGGAGGCTCTCCAGACACCAGGTGACTGCCTCCTTCCAGTAGAGGTTGGTGGTGTCTGGGAGCTCTGCGGGGCGATGGTAAGTAATCCCGATCCGGAACAGCGTCACGAGGGTTTCCCCCTCGAGGGAGCTGGCAAGGGCGAGCGGCACGAACTCCCTCGCGTAACTGACAGGGTCGGGGCTCGTCTGAGCCATGGCGATTAACATCGCTCGTTCCTCCATGTGAGCGGGGAGGAACAAAAGGAAAAACAAAACACTTTTAAAAATGGGGAAAAAAATGGGGAGAAGGGGCACTGCTTACTATATTGTCTGGTCTGGAATTCTGTCACGGGTTGCCTACTGTGACGGAGACAAGGAGACAAAGGAGCGTGGAGACGAAGAGGATTAACAGGAAACGTTAATTTCTCCAAATAAAGAACACAGACAGGAACTCACACGTAGGACGAGGGGTTGACATTTAATTCCAGACAAGGGAGAACAGAACGGGCTCGAACTCAGATAGGGCAGATAACGAGGGGCAGACAGGTGATGAAGATAACTAATAGCAAAGAACAGGTGATTACTAATAATAGAGAGTGGTCCATTACACGTGAATTACTTCTTACTTTGTTTAATGTTTACTTATAATGTTTGTTAAACAAGTTTAAATTGGGGCATGTATAGCCTACTGTACATATTAAAAACGATAGGCTAAACAATGCTGTAAATGACAAAGGAAAATAAAGGAAGTTATCATGCAAACAAGTGGTTGTGTGGAGTATTTTACAAAAGTTTAGAGCATTTAAGTTAATCTGTAAACATTATATCATGTATGTAGTAAAAAAAATAAGCTATGGTTGTTTTTAACCCAGTGTTTAGAGTGAAAACATTTTTTTGTCACAAATACAAACGTTGGGATTCTATTTTTATAAACGCTTTCTGGTTAATTGGTATTCGTTACATGACTTTTCTTTTGGAGCTAGTAGTTCTATATGTGTCGCGGGTTGCCTACTGTAGCGGAGAAGAGGAGACGAAGGAGCGTGGAGACGAAGAGGATTAACAGGAAGCAGTCTTTTATTCTTCCAAATAAAGAACACACAGACAGGAACTCACACGTAGGACGAGGGGTTGACATTCAATTCCAGACAAGGGAGAACAGAATGGGCTCGAACTCAAATAGGGCAGATTACGAGGGGCAGACAGGTGATGAGGATAACTAATAACAAGGAACAGGTGATTACTAATAATGGGAAAAGGAACTGGAAGGAGCAATTAAGGACAAACAGGAACACACACACGTGACAGATATCGCCCCCCTCCCGGAAGGTGCATCCCGCACCGTAACAGTACCATCGGGGGGGGGGCGGGCCAAGGGAGAACAGAACGGGCTCGAACTCAGATAGGGCAGATAACGAGGGGCAGACAGGTGATGAAGATAACTAATAGCAAAGAACAGGTGATTACTAATAATAGGAAAAGGAACTGGAAGGACCAAATAAGGACAAACAGGAACTAAACAGGAACACACACATGGCACTGATTATTTTTAAATGATACCTAATATCAACTTAAATAAAAACATTGAATATTTGCTATTAACCAATGTTGGCCGACGTTTAGCCTATGTTCTATCATTCTTTGTGATGCTTAGAAATAAGAGACAGCAGATTATTGTTAAGTGGTTTAATAAATAATAGCAAGTTTACAATAAATTTACAATATTACAATAAATTTGCTTAATTCCAGTAGCGCCTCCGTTGTGCTATACCACAACTGGCAAAACCTTCTGAAGGTGGTCAATGTATCTGTTGCAGACAGTTTTTGTCAAGCGATTAACAGTGCTGGCTCTGCAACACTCAACAGGCTTGAGGTAGGGGGAAGGGTGCATTGTTTCAAATGTTTTTCACTGAAGCCTCTAATCCAGAGGTTGGGAGATGCAAAATTATTCGCTTCAGCCATGCGCGTTAAGGTACAGACCTTTTTGCAATCTGAGTGCCTTTGCCAAATAAAATTCCCTCACACATAGATTCAATAAATGAAATAGATTGGCGCCAGCTTCCTTTGAAATATGATCGTCTTAAATTGCCTGTTCATGCGCGAGAGCATGTCTGGGGAGGCGTGCAGAGTGTTAAAATAATAATTTATTGATTACTAATTTTAATCAGAATACTATAACAAAAACTACCTTAAAAATTAAAACAAAACAGGTTTTATGATCAGAAATTTCTTATGGTGATCTGAAACAAATGCATTCAAACATGCTGGTGTTTTATGTGCTGGTCAGGAGGTGGGGGTTGGTTGGTGGGCATTCGAAATGACCTTATATCCATATCTCTCGGTAAAGAATGTGTCCAAATAACAGACGCACATCACTGAACATGGGAGTACTCTTTAATAAAATATACATTTGAATTACAGGGTGTTAAAATAAATAAAATTCAGTTCAAAACCCACTTTTATTAATAGCCTGTAGCTTATATTTAAGCAACTGTTTTATTGCGCCTGTGGTTATTGTGGTTCACACCTTTGCAACCCCACCCACATTTCAAAGCTTTTACCAAAAGAATAAAACTCTGCAACTTGTACATTTGGGTCTGTATTTTACAACATTAACCTGCTTTAATAGAAATTTGAAGGAAATCGCTATGTTTATCCACCACATATGAGGGGTGCACATAAAGTAAAATTACATTTTCATCCGACTATATTTCATGGTTTTAAATAAGAGATCAAAGACTGCCGTTTTTTAATTTATGTCGTAAGCGTTTTGTAGAAAGAGATGGAGACCTGTCTGAAAAGTAAATAAACTCACTTTGTTTACACAGCGATGATTTTTTGTATTTATAAGGGTTAAATTTATGAGGTCCTGCTGTCACACCTGTAATGTTTTAAAGATTAAGTTTAGATCATAAAGGCTAGTTATTAATGCAGTTAACTTGAAACCTTCGATACAAAGCCAACTTTCAATTTACAGGTTATAACTGCATCTGTCTCGGATGTAGACTTGTTAAGATTTATTTTACTGCGGATCCCATGATAATGAACAACTTAAAATTGGGGTGCCTCACATACATGAGAAATATAGGTCTACCTACTGAAAGATAGAAATTGTCTACTCTGTTTTAAACTAACTAATCCAAAACGAAAGCAAATGCTCCCTGATTATGTAATCTGTATGAACACAATTCTCTCTAAAGGCGCAAGAGATGGATATGAGAGTCAGCTCCTTGAATTTCACCTTGCAGCCGACAGGTAAACATTAGATAATTAATAAATAATTAAAATGTCTCCTTTTTTCATAATCATTAGGCTACTTTTGCCTGTGCTTTGTGGAAAACTTTATACGCATAAGCTTGAGCATGGAATATAGCCTATTAAGGCTCATTATGGATTAGGCTATGTTAATTTAATATAAACGTGCGATTAATTTTTTTCATTTGTTTGAAGTAATGGTTATACCATGATATATTAATAAGTTAGACTACAAATAATTTGAAACGTTTATCTTGTAAACAAGTGTCTTATTTAGCCTATATTACATCTTATTTAGAAGTGTCGCACTCATGATAGCGCCGCAGTTCACTCAGACTTGCCCAGAAGAAATTGTATAATTTTAATGGCCTTCTTTCTATGTGTGTATCATTGTTGGGCTAGTTACTCAAAGAATGTAATATATTACTCATTACTAGTCACTAATATTGTTACTTTACTTATTACTTTCTGGCAACAGTAATTAGTTACATTACTAGTTACATTAATTTTTCTTCAAGCCCCACAGAAGTTGTAACTGTGTATCTTCCACATAAAATGCTTCTAGAATGTTGCGAACAACATATTTCTGCCTCATCATTTGACCAAAATCCACATTGGATCGCAGTCAGAAGTTATTACAAACACTCAATAGTGATTGATAGTGACATTCAAGTAGAAGTGTTGTATTAATCTCATTAATTGGCATGTGTAGTTTGAAGCTAATTGTAATTTCTCCATTACCCATATACGTACCATTATATTTCATTATGTATTTGATCAAATCACATAAGTTTGTAAGAAATTCATTTTCCAAAAAGATTTTTAATTATTGTAATATAATGTACCACATGCTGATCAGAGGAATGTGGGTGGGATGTAATGCCAGAGTAAAGTAAGGCCACAATTTACACAACAGTGTTCAGATCATCATTTTTCCTGACAAAATCAATATAATGCAGTATTTCTATCTGCTGAATGTAAGCTTTTCCTTATTCCAAGCTTGCCTGCTGCACTGGGGACATCACATGCATGTGCGAGTCGTGAAAATTATGAAAATAAATCTAGGAATTATTTGATTGTTGGATTTTAAATCAGCGGGGTTGAGGCATGTAACTAAGCTGTTTTATGGATGGTAACTGTAATATTATAACTGAAACCTTATTAGTAATTAGTTACTACTAGTTAATGTAAAAAAGTAATATTATTACAGTAACTAAGTTACTAGTAACTAGTTACTGCCTAACACTGGTGTCTGTGTGTGTGTGTGTATATATATATATATATATATACAGTATCTCACAGAAGTGAATACACCCCTCACATTTTTGTAAATATTTTATAATATTTTTTCATGTGACAACACTGAAGAAATGACACTTTGCCACAATGTAAAGTAGTGAGTGTACAGCTTGATATATATATATATATATATATATATATATATACACACACACTATAAATTAGTGCTGTCATTTGATTAAAAAAACTAATTAATCGCACATTTTTCTGAAATTAATCCCACCTAACATTAAAGTTTTTAAATATACTTTTATGGTGCAATAATTTCACATTCAATCTTCAAATCAATGTACAAACAACATAAAGACAGTATATTTTTTTATATTTGTTTAATTACATATTTTTTTATTACTGAAGGCCAGTATCAATACCAATCCTGGCCAGGGAAGAATAATTTTTCCTTCTTTATACAGTGCTAGCAGTAATTTAGCAAATGTAGCAAGGGCTCAAACATTCATTGACTTCAAATTGTGAGCAGCAAACAGACAATCAGTTGTGAACATAAGGGATTTAATAAATGAAACTATGTCTAACATATAACTAAGCAAAACACATATATATACAGAATGAAACAAAGTAAGGAAAAGAGAGAGGAAAGAAAAAGAATGGCAGTATTTCACATCACTTAACCACAACCTTTGAAAATCATCAAAGAATCAAAAATCACCTTAAAAAGGGGCTGAAACTTAAACACGCATCTAAATAATTGTAAGCGGTTACTTGCATTGGTTTAGATTGCTAAAATACAGGGTTTGGCCCTGTAGTGTGAGTTGTTCTCTCAGCTGGGACATCTCAGTCTGGATCTCCCTTACATGTTGCCTCAGGGTAGATAGGTGGATAACGTAGAATGTCAACTGTTATTTCGAATAATTAACATAATTTAATTAAATTAATAATATAACAATATTATTAATTTAATTTAATTATGTTAATTATTCGAACTAACATAATTTAATTTAATTAATAATATTGTTATATTATTAATGAGCAAGGCCCCTAGGAATCGTTTGTCACGCCTGTTATGTCCGCTTAGCTCTGCTTGAGTGAGAGTCATTTTCTGCAACTGAGAGAGCATGTGTTTGATATCAGCTTCTGCGTGAGCGAGGGTATTCTCAGTCCATTGGGCACCTGCCCAACTGTAGTGTGCAGCTGCCCGGGGATAATGTGTCCAGTAGACATTTCGGGGGTCGAGTCGGACGTACACCTTCTGGGTGTGAGTCCTACAGTTGGTCATAAGAAGTCCAGGTTGGTCCCTCAGTGCAATGCATGATGCTGGACCTGGTGATGTGATATCGGGTGCCGGCTGTCCTCTGTTAGGTTTATATTCAGCGAGCATATCCGCTATGTATATAGGTCATAGGCCATTGAGTGATTTATAAACGAGTAAAAGTACTTTAAAATCAATCCTAAATATAACTGGAAGCCAGTGTAAGGACCTGAGGACTGGTGTAATATGCTCAGATTTTCTGGTTCTAGTCAGAATCCTGGCAGCAGCGTTCTGGATGAGCTGCAGCTGTCTAATGGTCTTCTTGGGAAGGCCGGTGCGGAGACCATTACAATAGCCCACCCTGCTGGTGATAAAGGCATGAACAAGTTTCTCCAAGTCTTGACTGGAAACAAAACATCTAATTCTTGTGATGTTTTTGAGATGATAGTATGCTGATTTAGTTACCACTTTGACGTGACTACTGAAACTAAGGTCTGACTCCAAAATCACACCAAGATTCTTGACTTGATTTTTAGTTGTTTGACCCCTAGTATCAAGGTATGCATTCGCCTTGAGAACTTCATCTTTGTTTCCAAATGCAATGACTTCA